CTGCTCTGCGCCTCCTGCGAAGGAGCCCGGCCAGGGCCCAACAAACGAGTCTACTAGGCGCCCAAGACCTTAAGCAGGGGAGTCAACGCACAGAGGGACAGGCACCCAGCAAACCTGGAAGGCGGAGCGCCGGTGCCCCGGCCCAGGATTTCCAGAAGAGGGGCCCAAGCGACCTGCTGAAGCACTGAGGGCCCCGTGGGTGCTTCCTCCTCCCATCCTCGCCAGGGCGGCGTCTAGATCCCCAGTTGTCCAGGAGGAAACGCGGCGAGTTTGCCTGAAGACCACTCGGCCACGAAGGGCGACAAGGGGACTCTCCGATCCCAAAGCCCTTGTTCTCTGCACGGCACCCACTGTCTTCCGGAAGCCACAGGGAGGTTACCCGAAGGGCAGACTTAGGGCTCCAGCGCTGCCAGAGCGCACAGTGCCCTCGCCCCCGAGAGAACGTTCAGCACCACTGAATGCTGCGCGCGCAAATCTTGGCTCTTAAATTCAGCCTACAGGTTGTGCACTCGGGTCTGCAGTTGTCTTTGTCATGAATTACACGAGGGGGTGGGCTCGGCGGGTACCTGGTGCCCCAGTGCCCTTAAAATGTTAGTCTGCTGGGTGGAGGGACCGGCCTAGCGAGAGGGAAACCAGCGGGGTCAAGGCTAGAGCCCCAGCCAGTGGGAAGGGTCCTGGAAGTGCGCCCCGAATTGTAACCGCGGAGGCACGTTGATGCTCCCGCGTGAGAGGAGGGAGAAGCTGAATTTCAGCCCGGCTGGGAGAGGCTTCTTGAAGCAGAGACACCTCAGTGGGCTTCAGAGAGGCCCAGGTGGTCTGAGCCTGCCCTCAAGGGTCATGGGGCTTTTGGATGGTGACGAAAGGTGTTGGGACGTCACCCTCAAAGCCTGAAGGCCCCAGACCAGGGGAAATAGCTAGAGGTCTCCGCGCTGGGCTCTTCCCTGTGTGGAACCAGGTGCGCCGACAGGAACATTCCGATGGGTTCTCCAGTCCCAAGAAAGGAGAGCTGTGCAGAGAAAGCAGCCCAGAGGGGGGTCTGTGAGGAGGGCTTCCTGCTCCTGGGGGCGTGTTCTACTAACTCAGTAACGAATAGATGGTTTAAGCTAAAAAAGACTTAAAAGGGAGCATAGTAAAAGTGACTCCCCCTTACTGTCCCCTCACCCAATACTCTTCTCATAGGCAACCAGTGTTTCCTGCTCAAGTGTACTTCCAGAGGGATTTCACACCTGCGCAGGCAAATTGTGTGTGTACACTTAAAAATCATGGTATAACTCACGTTCCAATTCTGCCCGCTTCACCTGGCAGAGCGGGCGCCCTGCCCAGCAGGCAAGCAGATACAAGGGGCCAGGCAGGGTGTCGGGGGTCTGAAGCTCTCTGGCCCACTGGGGTTGTGAGTTCCTGCAGACCCAGCTTTCCATATCTTCTGATGATTGAGGAGAAATCAGTAACGTGGGTTTGTAGGTGAAACATCTCGGTTGTAAACGAATGCAATTAATTTATTAAAACACACACCCACACTCTGGAACATCACCCCACAGACGTGGAAACTTACATTTGCACAAAAGCTGATACATAAAATGTTCAAAGCAGCTTTATTCATAGTAACCCCAAACTGGAAAGAACACAGAGATCTTCGACGGGTGCTGGTCAAACAGCCTTGGTCCATCCACACAGGATGCTACCCAGCAAGAAAGGAACAAACTACTGACACTCAGCAACCCGAGTCTGCAAGAAATTGTGCTGAGTGGAGGGCCAATCGCCAAAGGTTACACATCGCATAATTCCATTTATATATATTCTTGAAATGGCAAAATTACAGAAACGGAGAACAGGTGAGTGACTGACAGGGGTGCGGCCAGACCGGGTGGGGGTGGGGGGTCTTGTGGCTGAAAAAGGACAACATGTGAAACCCCAGTGGGGCTGGACCCGCTCTGCGTCCTGTGTCTGTGCTAACGTCCTCGCTGCAGTGTTGCCATACACTTCTGCAGGAAGTCGCCATGGGGGGACTGGGAAGACTGTGCATGGCATCTCTCTGTATTATTCCTTTAAAGTGTGTGAAGTTCCAATCGTCTATGAGACAGTAGGTGGGGGAGAAATAGCTCAGCGGCAGAGCGCATGCTCAGCATGCACAAGGTCCTGGGTTCAATCCCCAGTGCCTCCATTAAAAATACATACATACTATAAAAATATTTAAAGAAGTTTAATTACACAAACGAAAAAGGAAACACAGAAACAGAGCTAACAAGTAATCTGGGTAGGCCCAGCTTGCTGGCCGCCGGTGTGCTTAATTTAAGGTAGTAAGGAAATTTCCCCAGCAGAGAACCACCCATGGGAAGCAACAAAATGGTGGACAGGACATTTCCTCATTTGAGATTTTCCCCTTGATGTTGTCCTTAACCCCGCCCCTCCCCCATTTTCAGTTGCCCACGATCCTGGTGAGGGGCCGTGTCTGGGACCCAGGGTCGGAGCGGAGTCCGCCTTACCTGTGTGCTGTTTCCACCCTCCTTTGCCCCCTTCTCTGGGTATCAAGCGAGACAGTGGGCCGTGACCTGAGCAGGCCATGCTGCTCCAGACCCAGAGCCCCTCCGGGATGGCGGGGAGCCCAGATCTGTCTACCTGATGAATAAATGCGGCGGGGAAATGACTTCTGTCGGTGCCCTCCAACTTCTCATTTCCTAAGGCTCTGAAAAACCATAGGGTATCTGGCTCCCACCTGTACTGCAAGTTCCTGTCTGTCTTTAAATCAAAGTATTTAAGAAGGAAACTTTGTCACTTCTGTAAATAGAAAACCAGTATCAGCTGCCGAAATAGAAGTAGCCGTAAAATAAACACAATGAGATGAAGGGATGCCATTAAGTTCCAGCAGGCGCTGCTTCCCGCCGAAGGCTCAGAGCCCGCGCCTGCGGTGGGTCGCTGTTCCACAGGGAGACGGCCGAGCACCAGGCCCCTCGCACCTGCTCAAACAAACATGGTCACAACCTTCTTATTTCTCGTCCGCTGTTCTTCCTGTACAAGCCCTTCCCCTTGTCTCCCCTATTTAGTCTTTAGCTATTCAGAGGTTCACATTTTTCTGTGAACTCCATGTACATACATGAATAAAACTGACCTTTTCCTTGCTAATCTGCCCTTTCTTGGTTTAATTCACAGGCTCCAAACACTAAACCTAACAGGGCAGACCCCCACATCCTCCCCGCCATTGGTGCTGCCTGTCCATTACGTGAGCGACCCAGGAGGTGTGCAGTGGTACTGTGGTTTTCACCCACATCTCCTTGGAGGCTGACGATGTTGGACATCTTCCCATGTCTTTATTGGCCATTTGTGTATCTTCTTCACAAAAACGACTCTTCAGGTCCTTTGCCCATTTTTTAATTGGATTACTTGTCTTTTGTTGTAATCCAACCACTTAAAAAAAAAGAAATATTGGAAAGAATGCTTAGAATTGTGCCCAGCACGTGTTAAAGACTCAAAAAGAGAAACAGGAAGTAGAAGACATCAGAGGACGTCCCCCAGCCCCGCTCCGCAGGAAAGGCAGACGCTGTTTCATGAAGCTCCTGTTTCACTCATACAAATACGTGTGAGCTGGATTGCAGGTGAACTGTGTTTCTTACTGGGGATTGTGCTCAGAAAAGTTCAAGTCCCGCATTCTAAGGAATGGACTTAGATGTGAACTGCTAGGTCACAGAAGACACCCATGTTCAGGTCTACTCAGTACAGATCCAAGATCCCTCCCCATGACTCCGAAACCCCCTCAGAACCCTCTAAAACCACTTTTTCCCATAGGTTTGCAACAACGCCCTTTGACCCTGAAAACTAACCTATGGGCTGAGGCTATTTAAGGTCTGTATCAGCCCTTTTCGTGTGAATATTCACATTCTACTGCAGAGAAATCAAAGCGCTGCTTCTGAGCTCACTGGAAGTGGTCACGTAAAAATGGTTTCCACACCTTCTACCTTTCAAACCTAAAAAACACACAAACAAATGAACAGAAACAAAAAGTTCTGAAACATATCTGGTCTCAACGATTTCCAACAAGGTCCTGCAGGCATCTCATCCAAAAAGCTCCCCAGATTGGCTGAAGCAATTTACACTTCCGCCAGCAGCGTGAGAGCTCGCTTCCTCCACCTTCGCTCAGACTTGATACAGGAAAGTTGTGCCGATCTGATCCGTGAGAAAAGAGCGTGTTGCTGTTTTAACATGCATTTCCCTGGTTATTGAAAAGGGTGTACAGATCACGTGTGTTGGCCATTTGGATTTTCTCTTCTGGGAACTGTTCATCGATCTGTGACTCTTTTCGGACTTATGGCTTCAGCTCTCCACAGAAGGACTCGAACACCATATTCCAGTAATTCTAATTTTCAGCTGGTGGAGAGTTTGGATTCGTTCTCACCCAACTTATCTTTTTTCCCGAGATAATAATGGTAGAAGAGGAACTAAGAAGTCTCAAATAAGGGTGCTCTCTGCTGTCGGGGCCCAGGGCAGGCCACCCTCAAATATGCCTCTGGCATATTGGTTATTTTGAATTAAAGTTACTTAAGGAATAGCTGACACAGAGGGACACTCTGACCCTCCTCCCTGTCTCCCCGAGAGCAGGACATAAATCTCTCAGGAGGCAGGACACCCTTACTGCCAAAAACAGGGAGTTCATAATCAAACCTGCTACTTCTGTAACTTACCACCCCAAACCCAAACTCCATTTAGATTCTTCCCTAATTAAGCACCCAAAGCCTCAGCTCCTCTGTCCTGTCAGTTCCTCACAAATTTATCATTTCTTTATCCGAAAAATATAAAAGCTGCCTCTTTTGGCCCCTTCTTAGGTCCCATTTCTATGAGACCTCCTGGAGTACCAATTAAAATTTGCTTCTTTTTCTCCTGTTCATGTGCCTTGTGTTGACTTTATTGTTAGCCCAGCCACAGGAACGCAGAGGGGGAGAGGGGAAACTTCCCCTCCCGGACACTGCCTTTCTCAGTACTGTAAGAAGTGTTCAGGGCCTACAGGGTAAAAATGGCAGAAAATACCTCCCCCCAATTAATTAAATTTTGAGCTCATTAAAGTTTCTAATGGATGCAAAACGTCAGAATCTAAATTATCCGGTCAAGCCAGGTTGTGACTTAAGGGACACTCCAGTTTGCCACAGTCTAACTGCACCTTTGTGATGTAAATGTTGTGATGTGGTCTGCAGTTCAGCTAAACACAGCTGGCTGGTTTCTTACATGATTAAACCTGCTCCACGGGCAGGGAGGGAGACTGGGGTGTCTCCCGGAGAGTCACCCTCCTTCTGACAGGAGTCTCAGGTGGGGGACAGGCAGCCTGAAGGCTACAGCAAGGTTGCCAGAACAGCCATGGCTTCCCCTTCAGGGACCTTGAAGGAAAGTTCCGGAAAAAACTAAAGTTCCTCTTGATCCCTGTGTGGGCACGGCTGTGTGTGAAATGAGTTTCCTAAAATGGATTTTGTTTCCTGCATGTGAGTTTTTATTTATGTGTAACATAAAGTTGGCAGGGAGTCACGACAGGGAGTGGCGGAGACTGTGGCAAACTAGAGAGGTTGCAAATCCTTCTTGTAAGAGATGGCCTCCACTCACCTCCAGCATATCACTGATTACCATGCGAACTCTGAGCCCAGTGTTGCCAGGGCTTCTGATTTTCCAAAAGAAATGATAAATCTAGATTTTATATAAAATACCCTGATTTTTAAATATTGGCAAACAATTCAAATTGAAGAAATCGGAGTAGGTGCTTTTGCCTCATGAAGAGTCAGGGGCTCCTGGTGGAATTAATACTTGAATACAGGCTGTTCTAAGCACCGTCGTAAACATGCCACGTGTGTTATTAACTGAATCTTTGTCCCAGATGTGTGCAGTAGATGCTGTGAGGAACTCCAAGTTATAAATGAACGTGTAACTATGAAACAACATAAATGTCCATCGACAGACGATTGGATAAAGAAGCTGTGGTATATGTATACAATGGAATACTATTCAGCCACAAAAAGGAATGAAATGATGCCATTTGCAGCAACATGGACAGACCTAGCGATGATCATGTTAAGTAAGTCAGACAGATAAATACAAATATCATGTGTCACTTACACTCCAGGCCTAGAGAGGGCGCTTCAGGTCCCAGAGTTTAAGGGGTTTGAGTTCTGTTTGTCACCTATACTTCTGAAGGGCCACGTCTAAACTGAGGTTCCTCCTGCAGTTCGGTAATTTGTAAGAATGTAAGAATGTAAGAACTCCGGGAAACAATTACTTACACCCGCCGGTTTATTAGAAAGGGTGTTATAAAGGATACAGAGGAAGAACCAGACAAAGTGATCCCGACCGTGAGGTCTGGGGGGGGTCCTGTCCCCGTGGAGGTGGGTGTGCCATCCTCCTGGGACGTGGATGTGTTCGCCAACCTGGAACGACGTGAACCCCATCCTTTGGGGATTTTTATGCAAACTTCATTACGTAGGCATGACTGACCATTAAGTCAATCCCCAGCCTCTCCCCTGCGCAGAGGTAAGAAGATGGGGCTGAGAATTCCAAGCTTCTAATCACAGCTTGGTCTTCCTGATGACCAGCCCCCACGCAGGAGTCCACCAAGCATCAGGTCTTCAGAACAAAACACACTCCTAGCACCCAGGAAATTCCAAGGGATTTGAGAGCTCTGTGAGGAACTGGGGTCAGGAGCCAAACACTGGAACAAAAGATGCTCCTCTTTCTTCTATCACTTAGGAAACTGAAAGGGTTTGGGGAGCTCTGTGCCAGGAACTGAGGGCAGACATCAGTATATACATTTTCTGTTATTTCAGAGCAGATAAGTGAAACCAAGCCCATTTCACAGATCTGGAAACTGAGCAAGGCAAGTGGCTTCTCAAAAGGTCACACGACCACTTGGCAGGCAGAGTAAGAAGTAAAACCCAGTTCTAACATCCAGGCCACTGCTAAGAATACTCTCAATGACATACATATGCATTTTTAAATTAGGACTCACGTCCTGTTTTCGTTCTCACTCTGAGTGTGGTGTCCTTGCAAGCAGGAACTGGATCCATCTGTATTCTCTCTTCTGCACTGATGAGGCTCAGTCTGACTGTGCTCAGGTCGGCTCAGGGACACGCCCACGCAAGGGTGTCAGTCACTCCCCAAAACTCAGAAGCGTGTCCAGGAGCTGCTGGGAAGTGTTCTGTTGTTCTCAAACGCCAGGTTCTGATCCCTGAGGTGGGATGAGATGCCTGCCTGCCCCAGAACTGGGTGTGTCTTTCAGCAAAAGTGGGCTGCGCTTGGAAGCCAAAGGGCCAGCATCCTGAGAAACTGGGACTTTAAAAATCAGGTTCTTTTCCTCCAGGGCAGGAGAAAGTCTGGCTCCGGGTACACCTCAGCTTTTGACTTTTCACACACCATTTTCACCTGGGATCTTTTCAAACCTCACTCAGAAAAAAAAAAAAAAGGCACGAGATACAGCAAATGGGAAGTGTTTTCAAGGGGCCCAAGCGCAGAGGGGCGGGTATAGCTCAGTGGTAAGAGCGTGTGCTTAGCATGCCTGAGGTCCTGAGTTCAATCCCCAATATCTCCATTAAAAACAAACAAATAAACTTAATCCCCACCCCCAACAAAATGACCCAAGTGCACGCTCTTGTTACCATTCCCACCTTACAGACACTGAGCACACCGAGACCTGGAGAGGCAGGGAGGGTAACACGCCCGTGGCCCCGCGGAGCCCGACCTGGAACCTGGCCCTGATGCACGCTGTTCCTGTGCCTGGGGGCTGGGACCCAGGTGAGGTCAGAACGCCCTCTCCACCTACCCGAGGGCAAGGGCATTTTGTTTGCTGATTTCATTATTCCTTTTCAGACACGTCACATTCCTGTGTAACGTCTCTTCACGGTCTTTAGACCAATGACCAGAAAATTACCACTCAGGAATAGTCATCATCTTTTAACAACACAGGATAGATTAGACAGAACATGATCGCTCCTTGAAAAGTGTCTATTAAATTCTGGCTTGAACGTGTGAGAGGCTGTGACTGAGACGGCAGACAAGGTACTGTCGGACTTGGTCCCCAAGCACCTCCAGGGGCAGAGGGCTCATCACCATCCAAGCCAGCTGCTTCTCCTCTGCCCCACGTCAGCCCAAATGTGCCTTCCCCTACCTTCCCTCCAAGCCCTGGCCTGAATTCTGCCCTGGGAGTACCCCTCAGGGTCTGACCTCCGCCTCTCCCCCTCCGCTGCTCCCCTGCAAGCTTGATGCAAGTTTCAGGGGGAAGGGGAGACGCACAGACATCACTGGGCTGGAGGGTCAAGGCCCAGACTCCAGAGCCTGGCTGTCTGCACTCCAGGCCTGGCTCCTCCCCTCCTGGCTGCAGGGCCTGGACCATGTCATCCCAGCCTCCTCCCTGCCCTTGAGAGCTGATCACACACCTTCCCTCCTTTCTGCCAGGCTCTTCAGAGCTGTATGAATCAGGGATCTCCAGAGAAACAGAGAAGGACCTGCACGCGTGTGTACACACGTGTGTGCATGTGTCTAAACACGGTTATTATCAGGAACAACTTGCACAGTCACAGAAGCTTGCAAATCCCAATTTCTGCAGTCTGCAAGCTGGGGACG